TGGTCTTGTGTTCTCATTTTTGTCATCTTTCAGAAGGTCAACTATATAGCCATATACTAGAATGGAGACAGAACTGACGAGTCCTTAGCTTGCTGGTCAGCATAGAGAAGCCTAAACTTTGGAATCTGTCTATAAACTACAAGTAAATCTGTGATTCAGTGCTGATGGGGGAACAGGCCAGGGGGTGGGGGTGCAGCCTGACTTCCCCTGTTAACGCCTGTGCCCTTCCCACACCACCAGGAGGCAAATAGGCCCAGGTTTCCATCCAGGCTCCTTGGGTGACGGTTAAACAAATTCCTTAAATTTTCTGAGCCTCAGTTTCCTCTTCTGGAAAAGTGGTGATAATTACAGTCTTTGGCTCAAGGGTTTTCTTGAGGCTATTTCAAATCACGCTGCTGGACACACACATTAAGCCCTTGGGGAATGGCAAAGAGACAAAGGCAAGAGATGACGTCAGGCTTTGATGGTTTATGCTCCAGGGCTGATCCCCACAAGCAGAGGGCTTGAACGTGCAATGTCCAAGTCCTTCCAGAATCCATCCCTCCCTCTCTCTGGCACATCTCAGATTTAAGAGCTGGAATCAGTGAAATAGTTTACTAAAAGTATACCCTTAATTTTCCTTTCGGATCCAGTAGGTGGCAATAAGTCTCCATTATTTTTTTTTTAATCCAGTATTTAATTTAAGCCCCAGTCCTGGCTGTGCTGTGAGATGAGGCCTTTGGGAGTAGCTGAAACCATGCAGAGGGTGAGGACTCTGTAGAGATGCATGGGCACCCTTCAGAGCACAAAGTGTCATCTGCCTTCCCTCCAGGGGGACTTCCCTTCTGATGGTGTTTATTCCTCCTGTGTCTGTGTTCTCTCTCTCTCTCTTTTAAAGATTTTATTGATTTATTTGAAAGGTGAAGTTACAGACAGTGAGAGGGAGAGACAGAGAGAAAGGTCTTCCATCCGCTGGTTCACTCCCCAAATGGCCGCCACGGCCAGAGCTATGCTGATCCAAAGCCAGGAGCCAGGAGCTTCTTCCTGGTCTCCCATGTGGGTGCAGGGGCCCAAGGACTTGGGCCATCTCCTACTGCTTTTCCCAGGCCACATCAGAGAGCTAGATTGGAAGAGGAGCACCTGGGACTAGGACCAGCGCCCATATGGGATGCTGGCGCTGCAGGCGGAGGATTAACCTACTGCGCCATGGTGCCGGCCCCTGTGTTTTCTCTTATAAGGACAGCAGTCATGTTGAGTTAAGGACCCACCCGACTCTAGCTGGATCCTAACTTGCCTGGTTATGACCATTTTTTCAAATAAGGCCACATTCCCAAGGTGTTGGCGTTTAGAACTTCAACATTTTGGGAAGTGGGTGGGATCGGGCAGAGACACAACTCAACCAGTAAAAGCATCTCAGACAAGCATCTCAGAAGGCAGTATCGTGGCCCTGTGTGCAGGCCCCAGAACCAGAGTGCTGGAGCTGGAATCCTGGCTCTACCATTGAGTGATCAGGACAGGTTCCTGGCTGTCTGAACACCACCAACCTCTGAAAGCCAGAGGGGAGTGTCACAGGACTGCCATGATTTAATACAGGTAAAGCACCTAGAAGAGACTTGTGGTAGAAACTGCTGGTGCCCCTTTCAGACCTTTTTTGTTTTGAAAGGCAGAGTTAGACAGTGAGAGAGAGAGAGAAAGAAACAGAGAGAAAGGTCTTCCTTCCATTGGTTCACTCCCCAAATGGCCACTATGGCCATCACGCTGCGCTGATCCGAAGCCAGGAGCCAGGTGCTTCCTCCTGGTCTCCCATGCGAGTGCAGGGCCCAAGCACTTGGGCCATCCTCCACTGCCTTCCCGGGCCATAGCATAGAGCTGGGCTGGAAGAGGAGCAACCAGGACAGAATCCGGTGCCCCAACTGGGACTAGAACCTGGGGTGCCAGCGCTGCAGGAGGAGGATTAGCCTAGTGAGCCATTGAGCTGGTCCACTTTCAGATCTTTTCATCATCTCACACACCCTTTACCCAAAGTGACTAACAGCTTACATCCTTGACCTTCTAGGGAGAGGTTGCCCTAGGCTGATGGGAGCCATCCTGTTGGGGATGCCTGGGAGGCTGGCCACTTCCCAGTAGATTTTGCCTGAGACCATATCCTTGCTCAGAACTTCCCTCTTGCTTCACTCCCCTACAGGGCTCTCCTGAGAGCACAGCTTAGTAAATTGTGTCCATCTGAATTCTTGCCTCAGGCTCTGCTTCCAGGGGACCGGATCTGAGACAAATGCTCAGGGTGAAAGCATTAGATTGTTGGTATTATTAATGTTTTCCAGGGAGTCCTGAATTTGACTCCCATGATTTCATACTGCAATTAATTTTTATTTTTCCTGTTATTTATCTTTTCTTTAAAGATTATTTATTTATTTATTTGAGAGGTAGCATTACAAAGAGAGGGAGATACAGAGAGAAAGGTCTTCCATCTGCTGGTTCACTCCCCAAATGGCCGCAATGGCTGGAGCTGGGCAAATCCGAAGCCAGGAGCCAGGAGTTTCTTCTGGGTCTCTCACATGGGTGCAGGGGCTGAAGAACTCAGGCCATCTTCTACTCCTTTCCCAGGCCATAGCAGACAGCTGGATTGGAAGAGAAGCAGCCTGGACGCAAGCTGGTATCCATATGGGATGCTGGTACTACAAGTGGAGGCTTAGCCTACTATGCCACAGCGCCAGCCTCGCCTGCTATTTATCTTGTGTTCCTAATAATGACACAGTTTTCCCTATACTCTTCAACTGTTTCCTGGGCTGAGGCTGTCCAGAGACACCCAGGGAAGGCTTCCCTTCATCACTGCTCATTTCTGAGACTGTGTACAGATTGAAGCATTCTCTGCCTCAACTGAGGATTGCTTTGGGGTCCTTCTTGCTTCACTCCAACAGCCTGCTTCTTAGTGCTTGCTCTTCAATCATTTGTACAGGCAGTAAAGTCTACTTTGCAACAGGATCCTGGATTAACAAATGTTCATGGCTCAGGCTAGCATAGTTCCACCCTATTTGACCTCAGGTTGGCTGGCTATACTTTATCAGCACCATCACCATCATCACTCCCACTTCAATATGTGCCAGACAGTATGCAGTAAACATAACTATAACATTGGTGTTAATTATAAGCCTCAGAGACTCAAATAGGGAGTGGCATGCTTGTATTATTAATGGGGAGCAGAAGTTCAGAGAAGTTACGTCACCTACTTGTGGTCATGCAGTAGTTGAACTAGATTTTGAATTATAGTCACCTAGGGGCGAATCGAGTGTAATTACTCAAATTCCTTGTTGAAAGTATATTTTCTATGAGCCCTCAGACCACAAACCACTGATTTTCTCCAGTAAATACCACTTTTAAAAGCTGGATGTCCCGGGCCATTCCCAGCAAGACAAATTGATGTCACAACTCTGAATTTTTCCTTTTTCCTTCTCGCCCCCCCAAGCTTCAAGGTTCCTCAAATCTTTTGACTTGTACCAGCCGTCTGAAGCTTGCTGACTTTAAGTGTCTGCACCACCGTCTTCTTCCTCACTTCCCAATCCCTAGGCATGTTCATACATGTTATTTGCTAATTTATTTCTATCCCAGGTATTTCAATTTATTTAGAATTCACTAAAGTTTATGTCACTCACGTTCCAATTGGTCATTAAAGTTGTGTTTTCAGACCCATGTTTTTATTTATTTATTTATTTATTTATTTATTTTTTGACAGGCAGATTTAGACAGTGAAAGAGAGAGAGAGACAGAGAGAAAGGTCTTCCTTTTTTTCTGTTGGTTCAGCCCCCAGATAGCTGCTATGGCTGGTATGCTGCGCTGATCCTAAGCCAGGAGCCAGGTGCTTCCTCCTGGTCTCCCATGCAGGTGCAGGACCCAAACACCTGAGCCATCCTCCACTGCCTTCCCGGGCCATAGCAGAGAGCTGGACCAGAAGAGGAGCAACCAGGACAGAATCTGGCACCCCGACTGGGACTAGAACCCGGTGTGCCGGCGCCGCAGGCAGAGGATTAGCCAAGTGAGCTGAGGCGCCAGCTTTAGACCCATGTTTTAATGAAGGCATATGCGATTCTTGTTTGTCACGGGTATTGGGAAGAGGGTGGTGGTTATGTCATTTATCATAGTTTATTTGTAATAATGCTTGGGAAGACTTTATTAATTAAGATCACAAAGAAAGCTTCCTTCTTTCTCCCTTATAGTAATCGAATCCTTCATTAGAATTAGGTTATTTTGAAGTCACCATTTGGTAGTGATCTGTGGTAGATATCTGAATTACTCAGCAAGTCATGGGGGCCCTATGAAATTTATAAGAAAAGCTTTGCCACTGTAAATAGCCACTAATAAATTCATCACTTAAAACAGTGCACAACTGTATGTCTTTCCCTGATCAGCCCTAGCCTCTATCCCTGTTTGTCACCCAGTGTTGTTTTGTGAGTGGATGTCAGGATTTTGATGGTTTATGAAGGGTGAATTTTTAATCAATGCAATGCAAATTCAGTGTCAGTCAATTGCAAAGTGAAGCTGGAAATACGGCAAAACGTGTAGGATTTCCTGAAATGAGTGGAATTGATGTAAGAGGACTGTCTGCATCGTTGGCAAAACAGGTTTGGGAAGGACCCTTAAAAATTGAAGAAACGCAAGAATGAGGATGCCAGCACTTCTTCAAGAGAGAATGATTACACTATCAAATGCTTAAGGGTGTCTATTGGGGAAACTGAGGAAGCCTTTGAGTATTTCCCCAAAACGACTCTTACTTGCTCTCAGTGAGACTGCTCGTATGAAATAAAAAAAAAAATGCCTAGTTGTACAATCATGATTTTGTGGGATTAATATGCCTAAGGAATCAAAACCTGGTTTCTTCCTTGTTCTGGAATAGCCATGGCCTGAACATTGTTAAAATAAGCTAAAATAAACACATTTTAATAACCCTTTATTTTGGTTTTTAATATAGAGTCTCAATAAATCTTCTCTTCACATTTCCCATGGCATTTTATTCTCCTTTTATGCAGGTTCATTTTCAAGAGTTGGTCACCCTCGAGGATCAAGGACCTGCCCACAAGGAGCTTCTAGCTCAATTGGTGAGGATTCTCCAACACACTGGGGATGAGTCAGTGAAGGTTGAGAGGGTATCCTTTTTCAGGTTGTATCTATAGTTAAGCTGGGAAAAGAAGAGAAGGGGAAAGGAACAAGAGAATGACTGCCATGTACATTCTAGATCTGCACAGTCTTGCAGAGTCTGGTCAGGCTTTGCTTGCTCTGGCTCCCAGGATGACTCTTGCCTTCTAACATAAACCTTTGCTCCTGCTGCTGTGAGTAATGTGTTGATAAGCGTCTTGTGTTGGCTTCCTGAAGGAGCTCATGAACAGCACATTGGGAATTCAGCAAAACACCGGGCCTCTAACTGCTCCTGAATGAGACAGAATTAGAAAATGGCTTCAAATTGAAAACTTAATTTTCAATTAGTGTACATTCAGTCAGGAGTGGGAGGGATAAGGGATGGCAGCTTGTTTGGTTAACACGCGTTTTAGAAGACACGCTTGCTAGCTATTAGCTTCCTCTTTTCCTCCCCCTCCCACCTCCTCAAGAGCTCCTACTCAGCAGCTTGGCAGCCACTTTCTTGCGGGCCTCCTGTGTGCTCTGTCCCCTGCTGGCTCAGATGCAGATGGCAGCAGTGGCAGCCCCAGGAAGTGGGATGCACCCTGTGGCCTCTGAGACTGGCTTGTGTGTGTTCTCCTTGCCTCGGAGCCCATGAGGCCAGCGGTATTTGTCATCTTAAAAGACACATGCCCTTCTGATGGCTTTAACAAAGCAGTTTCAGGAAAGATATTTTTCTTTTGTTCTCTAACATAATTTGATCTTAGTACATGGCTCAGCACTGGGCAAACATTCCCTGTGGCTTTCAAACGTGGGAGTTGTGAGGAGACATTGTAGCTGAAGATGGGAAGCATGAAGGTGGCAGGAGTGGGGTACGAAGCTGGGTAGGGAAATAGCAGAGGCTGTGGGTTGGAGATGTGAATGGCTTTATCTGCCCTCTGATGCCTGCTTCCTCATCTATAGACAGTTCTCATCCTATTTTCTCCTTTTCCTAATTCACAGATATGAGGATGTCCTCAAAACGTTCATAGAAATATAATGGAAAAACTGTACATGTATTTCACCTTGGCATTAAAATAAAATTATCTTTACTTCCTTTTTTCCATAAACTTTTTTTAAAAAGATTTTTTTTTTTGACAGGCAGAGTGGACAGTGAGAGAGAGAGAGACAGAGAGAAAGGTCTTCCTTTGCCGTTGGTTCACCCTCCAATGGCCGCCGCGGCCGGCGCACCGCGCTGATCCGATGGCAGGAGCCAGGAGCCAGGTGCTTTTCCTGGTCTCCCATGGGGTGCAGGGCCCAAGCACCTGGGCCATCCTCCACTGCACTCCCTGGCCACAGCAGAGGACTGGCCTGGAAGAGGGGCAACCGGGACAGAATCCGGCGCCCCGACCGGGACTAGAACCCGGTGTGCCGGCGCCGCTAGGCGGAGGATTAGCCTAGTGAGCCGCGGCACCGGCCTTAAAAAGATTATTTTATTTATTTGAAAGGCAGATTTACAGAGAGGCAGAGGTACACAGAGAAAGATTTTCCATCTGCTGGTTCACTCCTCAAATGGCTGCAATGGCCAGGGCTAGGCAGATCCAAAGTCAGGAGCTTCTTCCAGGTCTCCAATGCAGGTGCAGGGGCTCAAGCACTTGGGCTATTTTCTGCTGCTTTCCCAGGCCATAGCAGAGAGCTGGATGGGAAGTGGAGCAGCTGGTCTTGAACTGGCACCCATAGGGGATGCCAGTGCTGCAGACAGAGGCTTTACCTGCTACACCTCAGCTCTGCCTCCTCCATAAACTTTTTGAAATATCCTTGCACTATACCAATCAAAATACCAAAGACATTCTTCTCAGATTTGGAAAAAATGATGCTGAAATTCATATGGAGACACAGGAGACCTCGAATAGTTAAAGCAATCTTGTACAACAAAAACAAAGATGGAGGCATCACAATACCAGATTTCAGGACATACTACAGGGCAGTTGTAATCAAAACAGTGTGGCACTGGTACAGAAAGAGATGTATAGACCAATGGAACAGAATAGAAACACCAGAAATCCATCCAAACATCTACAGCCAACTTGTATTTGATCAAGGATCCAAAACCAATTTCTGGAGCAAGGACAGTCTATTCAACAAATGGTGCTGGGAAAACTGGATTTCCACATGCAGAAGCATGAAGCAAGACCCTTACATTACACCTTACACAAAAATTCACTCAACATGGATTAAAGACCTAAATCTACGTCCTTACACCATCAAATTATTAGAGAACATTGGAGAAACCCTGCAAGATATAGGCACTGGCAAAGACTTCTTGGAAAGGACCCCAGAAGCACAGGCAGTCAAAGCCAAAATTAACAATTGGGATTACATCAAATTGAGAAGTTTCTGTACTGCAAAAGAAACAGTCAGGAAAGTGAGGAGGCAATCGACAGAATGGGAAAAAGTATTTGCAAACTATGCAACAGATAACGGGTTAATAACCAGACTCTACAAAGAGATCAAGAAACTCCACAAAAACAAAACCAACAACCCACTTAAGAGATGGGCCAAGGACCTCAATAGACATTTTTCAAAAGAGGAAATCCAAATGGCCAAGAAACACATGAAAAAATGTTCAAGATCACTGGTAATCAGGAAAATGCAAATCAAAACCACAACGAGGTTTCACTTCACCCTGGTTAGAATGGCTCACATACAGAAATCTACCAACAACAGATGCTGGCGAGGATGTAGGGAAAAAGGGACACTAACCCACTGTTGGTGGAAATGCAAACTGGTAAGCCATTATGGAATTCAGTCTGGAGATTCCTAAGGAACCTGAATATAACCCTACCATACAACCCAGCCATCCCACTCCTTGAAATTTACCCAGAGGAAATTAAAGGAAATTAAATTGGCAAACACAGAAGCTGTCTGCACCTTAATGTTTATTGCAGCTCATTCATAATAGCTAAGACCTGGAATCAACCTAAATGCCCATCAACACTAGACTGGATAAAGAAATTATGGGACATGTACTCTATAGAATACTATACAGCAGAAAAAAACAATGAAATCTGGTCATTTACAACAAAATGGAGGAATCTGGAATACATCATGCTGAGTGAAATAAGGCAGTCCCAAAGGGACCAATATCATATGTTCTCCCTGATTGGCGACAACTGACTGAACACCAAAAAGGAAACCTGTTGAAGTGAAAATGGACACTATGAGAAACGGTGACTTGATCAGCTCTTTTCCTGACTGTTGATGAACAACTTAATACTTCATCCCTTTTAGTATTTTTTTTGTCCTACTTAATACTATTGGTTGAATTCTATAATTAACACACAATTATTCTTAGGTGTTTAAATTTAACTGAAAAGTGATCTCTGTTAAATATAAGAGTGGGAATAAGAGAGGGAGGAGATATACAATTTGGGACATGCTCAATCTGACTTACCCCAAACGGTAGAGTTAGAAACGTGCAGAGGATTCCAATTCAATCTCATCAAGGTGGCATGTACCAATGCCATCTCACTAGTCCAAGTGATCAATTTCTGTTCACAATTGATCATAATGATAGGGCTAAGAGTCAAAGGGATCACATAAACAAGACTAGTGTCTGCTAGTACTAACTGATAGAATTAAGAAGGAGAGAAGGCTCCAACATGGGAAGCGGGATACACAGCAGACTCATAGAATGGCAGATGTCCTAAACAGCACTCTGGCCTCAGAATCAGAGCCCATGAGTGTTTTTTAGGCATGGAAAGTCAAGACAGTCTTTCAAAAACAAAACAAAACAAAAAACAAAAACAAACAAACCTAAATGAAAGATCTCCGCAAGTGAGATCCCAGAGGAAAGAATGGCTATCAAAGTAGGAGGTATCTTTCTCTGAAGGGAGGAGAGAACTTCCACTTTGACTATGACCTTGTCTAAATAAGACCAGAGTCAGCGAACTCGAAAGGCCTCCATAGCCTTGGCAACTCATGACAAGAGCCAAGGGTGATTACTGATGTCATAAACAAGAGTGTCAATTTGCTAAATCAACAACAGGAGTCACTGTGCACTTACCCTCATGTAGGATCTCTGTCCTTAATGTGTTGTTCAATATGAATTAATGCTATAACTAGCACTCAAACAGTATTTTACACTTTGTGTTTCGGTGTGGGTGCAAACTGTTGAAATCTTTACTTAATTTACACTAAATTAATCTTCTGTATATAAAGAGAATTGAAAATGAATCTTGATGCGAATGGAATGGGAGATGGTGCGGGAGATGGAAGGGGTGTCGGTGGAAGGGACATTATGGGGTGAAAAAGCCATTGTAATCCATAAGCTGTACTTTTGGAAATTTATATTTATTAAATGAAAGTTAAAAAAAAAAAAGAAATACCCTTGCACTTTGTTAGGTCTGCGGAGTTCTTGCTACCACAACCTGTTCCCATTAGTGAACTATGCTTTTTTCTTTCTTTTTTAAAAAAGATGTATTTGTTTTATTTATTTGAAAGGCACAGTTATAGACACACACACACACACTCACACACACAGAATCTTCCATCCACTGGTTCACTCTCCAAATTACTGAAATGAATGGGCTTGGCCAAGCAGAAGCCATGAATAGGAGCTTCTTCTGGGTCTCCTAGGTGGGTGCAGGGGCTGAAGCACTTGGACCATCTTCCACTGCTTTCCTAAGTATATTAGCCGGGAGCTGGAATGGAAGTGGAACAGCCAGAACTTGCACTGGTGATGATATAGGATGCCAGTGTCACAGGCTGCAGCTTTACCTGCTACACCACAACCCTGGTCCCTGAACTCCATTTTCTTTCTGTACTTTGCTACCCGAGGTGAGTTCACTGCCGAGTTCATGTCTCCAAAGATTTGCATCAATTACCATGGGAACACTTAGCACGGTGTGTTTACAAGCGCTGAAACTGGAAAGCATTCATTCAGTCGGCAGAGCAATCCCTTCACTAGGAAGTTCCTTCTGTCATGTGGAGGCCAGAGAGAGCATGCTTCAGCGATTAAACACCCCATTTCAGATGTGGCAGGCAAGGCTGCTATCTGCTTGGCAGACGCCTTTCATCTTTTCATCCTCCTTCCAACTCTTCTCAGATACAGTGACGCTGGCTGGCAGTGTTGGAAGCAAGCATTTCAGACATGGCTGCTGGCTCTGCTGATCTGTCACTAGGGTTTTCCTGACTCCTTCTTCCACCTTGGCTCACATCCCAGCCCCAAGCTCCTGGTGACATCTGCTCCCTACAGATTGGCCTGAACAAATTCCAAGTGCATTTACTTAAGGCTGTCTCTCTTCCGGTGAAGGCAGCCCTAGGCTAATTTATGCAACCCCTTCTCAAAGGCACCAGTGTCTTTAGCTACCACTAGTGAAATCATTCCCAAGGTTAAACTCCTTTCCAGAGACGCACCACACACTGTTTCTTTATTAGCCTTATCATGCCAACAAGCCACTTTTGTTAATCCCTTCTCTGCCATCCAGGCTGTAGCCTTCCAGCCAGTTTTTAAGAAGTGTTGGATTTAATTGAAGAAGGGATGAGAGTGGATCCAATGCTAACACAAACTTCCAGACTTGGGGGAAAAACAAGGAGAGAGGGAAGGAGTAGTCTGAAAAAAAAAAAAAAACCCTCACTAGACAAACACCCATGAATTTTGATAGTGCAGAAACAATTGACTTTGCAAAATGAAACTGAAAACTAGGATTTTAGGTTTGGAAGAGGTCTCAGAAATCTTGTAATCCAATCCCTTTAATTTATAAATTGGGACACTCTGAGTTAAAGAGGCTAAAAGGTCTGCTGGGTTAACTAATAAGGGAATGTGAAGAAAGACGTCCACCCCAAAGCTTGGCACTCTTGCAGTTCACTGCTGTGTTCACTGTGTACACAACCCTTCTCTGTTTTTCTGTGTATGTGTGTATATTAGAGATGGGGCCATGGGGAAGTGGTTAGGTTAGGTTAGTCATTATGCTGGGGCCCTCAGAGTTGGATCTTGGTGGTTTTGTAATAAGAGAGACAGAGACAGGTTCATGGGCACAGATATAGAGGTACATATGTGCTCCTGCCATGATGTGGTTTAGCCTAGGGGATCCCTCATAAGAGCCTGTACCATGATGTTTGACCTTTCACCTCCAGAACCATGAGCCAAAAGAACCTCTTTTCATTATAAGGTAGACTGCCTAATATGTTTTGTTATAGCAACAGAAAGTCAATACATGTGCATTTAGCAAGATCAATTTGTGATGCTCAAAATAAGGTGGGCAAGCCAAGGTCTGAGCCAGTCCTGTCTAACTCTGATCCTAGTGTTTTCTAGAGTACTCGTATATGTTGATGTAGCAGGTTTTAATTGAGAAGGAAGGTCAGAAGCATATGACATTTTGCCTCTTACCTTATTTTAATTTTATTTGAAAGGGAGAGAGAGAGAGAGAGAGAGAGAGAGAGAGAGAGAGAACAAGACAGCCCAAATGCCCACAGTAGCCAAGGTGAGGCTAGATTGAATCCAGGAATTCAGAAGTCAATCTGGGCTCTCCATGTGGGTGGCAAGTACCCAAGTATTTGAGGGTATGCATTAGCAGAAACCTGGATTGGAAGAAGAGTAGCTGTAACTTGAACCAAAATTCTGATATGGAATATGGGTTTCTCAAGTGATGACTTGACCATGGTGCCAACTACCCATCCTGACATTGTGTCATTGAGGGGTTAAACTGGCATTCTTCATAGTAGCTGAGGGGACTGATGTGTGAAAAATAAGAGCAAATGTGATAGGTTATACTAGAAAATTTCAATTCTCTCATTTGGTTGCCCAGAGAGAAGGGAAACATTTACTTAGCTAACGTTTTTGGAAGACTCTGGCAATTAGGGTGTTAATATTCTATGTAGTCACAATTATCCTGTAACTACCAATTATGGGGAAACTCATCATTTTACTGTAATGCAATTACATTAAATAGCACCAGTCATGTTGGTGCAAAGACTAGGGCAGCCTCTAATTATCCACTGCACCCAGACACCTCAGCCTGGATCAGAAATAATTGGGGTAATGCAGTTTTGCATGGCAGAGTTGACCCCCGTTTTCCTCAGGAAAGGTTTTCTTGCTTTTTAATCCTCCCTTATGTATGCGACTCAGCTGTGTTTGTGGTATGGAAGCAGAAGAAATATCAACATCTCCAGTCTAGGCATGAATTAGTATTTCCCTAAATAAGCAAGGGATTGGGAAGAAAGGGTTTCATACTTGTTTTGAGACTCTTTGAGAACCAGAGCTGTTGCTATCCAACTCTTCTGTCTCCATTGCATGAGACAGATGAGAATGGCCAACATACACTGAGGATCTCCCATATGACAGGACCACACTAGATACTTTAGATATTTTAAGATTAGTTCTTAAAACAATTCTACAAAGGAATTATTAAAATGTAACATGTAACATATGAGGAAACAAGAACATCAGAGAGATAAAAGCCAAAGCCACACAGAACCTGTAAGCAGTAGAGCCAGATTCAATCTTTTTCCAAAATCTGTGCTCTTCTACAGCTTCCCACTGCCTCCCAACAAGTGCCTAACATATAGTTATTGAATAGAGATAGAGGAGGTAGAAAATATCTGCACGGTCATTTACTTTCTGGTCTATTTCATCAGCTTCTTAGGAATTAAATCTCTAGTTTAGTTAATTCCCAGAAACACATTTTTTCCCCTTTCTGCAAGACAATTCAAATTCCATTCTTTTCAGCACTTGGAGAGCGCCTTCAGGGATGCGTACGTGTCAATCAATTGTGAAGTTGATCTACACAAATATCCTCGAGGAAGACCAAAATCTTAGAAAGAAAAATGAACTACAGTGAGGCAAAGAGGCCCAAAGGTATGGTGAAACTAAAAGTGATTTTATTTCCCCTTTTTCTTTGATGTTTGGATTTGGCAGTTATCTGATTTAAAAATTAGGGGGAGAATAGCAGATGGTGTGATTTGCAGTCACATATAAAATGCTTTCCCCCAAGTGATTTGGAGGCCCTGGTGAGTTTTTAAAGTTGTAATAGCTGTGATTATCTGGTTATGTGCTATAGATTCAGAGTGTTTTGGTCATTGTTGATTGATTTCTTCCTCCTTACCCTAAAAGCAGCAGAGACAAGAATAAGCACTCCCATTTAAGAGATGAAGACACCGGAATGGAGGAGATGATGAAAACAGATTTGCCTTGGGAGTTGTCTGCACAGCTCACTGCCTGGTGAGCTGGGAGTGAACAGAAGCCCAAGAGCTCAGCCTGATGGGATTTAGTTCTTTCTCAACAGAAACAGACATGGTTACCGTGGAGGTCGGCACCTGATGTGTATCAGCTATAGGATCTGTAGCTCCCTGCTGACCAACGGACCCCACCTTTCCAAGTGAATTTTCTGTGCTTAAATCTCCTCATGGGGCTTCTTCTATTGCGCACTGTGGAGTTACAGAAGTTAGGTTCTTTTTTTGTGTGTGTGTTGTTGTTTTAAACTTAGGACAGCAAGTAGATCTTCAACTGGGCTTCTTAACTAATATCTAGAAGAGAGTGTGGTGGCCTTGGAAAAACCCTCAAGCTGTGTCAAGAGGGTAAATCAGGGTACGGTGAGTGCCTATTCTTCCATGGAAGGAGCTGAGGAGGATGGTGCCACCCTAGAATCCAGGTGTGAGCCTTTCAGGAAACTTGGAAATGTGTGAACAACCCCAGTGGGAATGCTCTCAAGGATGCTGCAGGCCCTGGAGCAACCAAATTCCTGGGTAGAGCTGTGAAATTGTCAGAGTTCACAAAGATTCCTCTACAATTTGTTCTTAATTGCTGACAACCTAATTAAAATTTTTTCCCTATCTACTTTGTATCCTAAAGATAATCAATGCTTATTATAAAATTTGAAAGTCACAAAAGATTAAAATAAAAGACTACCTTTTGATTCATGTGTAATCATTGTACATATCTATGGGACACTGTGTGATGTTTTAAACAATGTATGTAAATGTTCTGATAAAATCAGGGTAATTAGCATGTTCATTTCCTTATCGTTTATTTATATTTAGTCTTCAAGCATGTCTTCTCAATTGTTATAAAATATGTAGTGTGTTACTGTGCCTTACAATCCCATCACTGTGCTGTTACCCCTCACCCTCACCCCTCTGTAACACCTCTTGGGACTTACAACTGCAAATGGTTTCCTGTGTTGTCTTCTGATAGAATTTTAGCTGAAAAGTAACACATATCTCTATATGTGTGTCTAAGTGACACTCTTCATGTATTTCCATGGCTGGTTTTGATTTTCATTTAACACTGTTGGGCATTATTATATATCATTAACTATAGATTTAACTTGATCAGTTAAAATTATCACAAATCATTACAGTGCATAGACACGACATTGTTCACTTATATTAATTAGTAAAGGACATTTGGGTGGTGTCAGGATTATTTTTTCTCTTGATCCATTAAAAATTGTTGTTATTGAGAACAATGCTATCCTCCACGCTTTTTTTGAAAAAAAAAAAAAAGTTTAATGGGGCTGGCATTGTGGTCTAGCAGGTAAAGTCTGTGATGTCGGCATCCCATATAGGTGCTGATTCCTGTCCTGGCTACTGCACTTTGGATCCAGCTCCCTGCTAATGGCCATAACTATGACTGCATCATAGTTAATGTGCCAATTGTTTTTAGTTTTAAATTATTGTTTAGTACATGTGAAAACTTATTTTTAGGTCGGCGCTGTGGCTCAAAAGGCTAATCCTCCGCCTGTGGCGCTGGCACACCGGGTTCTAGTCCCGGTTGGGGTGCCTGATTCTGTCCTGGTTGCTCCTCTTCCAGTCCAGCTCTCTGCTGTGGCCCAGGAGTGCAGTGGAGGATGGCCCAAGTGCTTGGGCCGTGTACTGCATGGGAGACCAGGAGGAAGCACCTGGCTCCTGGCTTCGGATCAGCGTGGTGTGCCGGCCAAAGCCCGCTGGCCGCAGTGGCCACTGGGGGGTGAACCAATGGAAAAAAGGAAGACCTTTCTCTCTGTCTCTCTCTCTCACTGTCCACTCTGCCTGTCAAAAAAAAAAAACACCTTATTTTTACTGTTTAGTGGATACATTATTTTCTATGTATAAATTGTTTTGATGTCATTTGTCAGGGTGGGGTACAGCCTCATGTTTTTCTCCATTAAAATGAATGAAAGTATTGTTTAATTTAATGACTTTTCACGTTGTAGCAGAATTTTCAGGAGTGAATTGGAGCCATTAAGCATGGGAAAGATGTGTTGGGTGACAGCCTGTCAAGATGCGGGCCGTGGTTTTCATGTTTATATCTGTGACAGTTTGTGGAATCATGTAGTTGGCCTTCAGTAAAAGTTTGTAGAATGAATATATACATCCACTTGATAAAAATACAGGGGGTTGCGTTTTTAAATAGACACTTCAGGGATTGTGTAATAAAATCTTTCATCTTTCAAATGGATATAGATTTCAAAATGACCTTGTCTAAATGTGTCAGATGCAATGAAGCAGCCTTATTAAAATGAAGCTTAGGAATGCACATCTACACTTTGCACTAGAACAATGCTAACTTGCTTTACGGTTTGATCAAGAATCTTGAGAAGGGATGAGTGCTGGGTGCCTAGACGGTCAGTGAGGAAATACTGGTGTGATTGTAGAAAGGATGAGACATTAGAAAGTGGTCACCATGGGGGTGGATTGATCAAGGCTGTAGGGAGCAACACTGCAAAAACCTGGAAATCTGGGGTGCATGGGAAAAGCAGTGCAGGCATGGAAGGGGTTGGCATCATCTGAGGGGAGAGAAGCCAATTCTGGGAGGCTCTTAGGGATACAGAAGAGGGTAGGGCCAGAAGCAGAGATGTTACAGACCCTGGGAAAGGCATCCTGAACATTTGCTAAGGTCTGGGTTTGCTTTTCTAGTGAAAAGGGGAAGTAGAGTGATCAAAAACAGAGATACTGAAGGAGAGACACAAAGAAGGACAGAGACAAATGAGAGAGAGGAAAAAAGAAAAAGAGACAGAGGATTTTATTGAGGATTTTGTCTGGGTGGATGATCTTTCTGATGTGTTGTAATCCATAAGCTGTACTTTGGAAATTTATATTTATTAAATAAAAGTTAAAAAAAAGAAAAAGAGACAGAAGGAGCAGGGAGAAGAAGCAGAGAGAGGAGTGAAGGAAATGGAGAGGAGGAGGAGAAAAAGATGGAGAGAGACACAGAGAGAGTCAGAGTCCTCAGTTGTTCCAACAAGAAAAATATCGTATGGGGCCAGGAAATGAATCCCATTAAGAATCTGCCAAAACACCATTCTCTGAAGAGAAGCGTGCCCTGGTGCTTCAGTTGCCTGCCAGCCCTCAGATCTGAGCACATTGTGGTTACAAACTCTCATTCTCCAACTGACTGACTGCGCAGTGCTCAGGCTAAAGAGACACAAGCCAAATAGAGGCACTTGAAAGAGGTAGTGACATGAGAGGCCAGGGGACTGAGGGTTTGATCATAAGAGGGAAACACACAAGACAGCCAGTCAGCCAGGAAACCTTTTTTCCTTTGTGGGAGGTGGCAAGAAGGTCACCACTTTGAAAACACCTCCAGAGCCCAGTGTAACATTTCCCTGGGTCATTTTTTTTTTTAAATCAAAACTCACTATTAAAATAGACAGAGAGGTTCCTTCTTTCTGAGTGCAGGTGGGGATGGAGATCTTCGTGTCAGACTTTTGGGAGTTCAAGTTTTTTCTTCTGCTTCAGTTGCTACACTGGCTGTGCTCATTACCATCTCTGCAAAATGACAACCCAGAAATAGTCAAGTGAGGAAATTCAGCGTTTTACTTCGTTAAAACATGGCATGACTCAATGTGATGGGAGACTATGCCACGTCCAGATTTGGTGAGTGGGTAAGTCTTCTACCACAATTCTCCTGCTGTGTGACTACATAGGACTGACCCAGAGCTCCCTCTTCCGTCCTGGTAGAGGCAGAGCTGTGCTGAGATTGGTGATGGTGACACCAACCCCCTCTCCAAATGTTTATGAAGAAATGTGTCTTCCACTGAGTTTCTTTTTAGAAAATAATATTTTACTTATTTATTTTATGCATTTGAAAATCCTAGAATGAAGGAGGGAGGGATGGATGGAGGGAAGGAGTGAAGGAGGGAGGGAGGAAGAGAGAGGGAGGGAGAGAGAGAGAGGATAGAGAGAGATTTTTTTCCATCAGATCATTCATTCCCCCAAAGCCCACGTCAGCTGAGGAAGGGTCAAGCTGCAGCCAGAAGTCAGGAACTTCATCTATGTTTCTTACATGGGTGACAGGGGTACAACTATTTGAACCATCACCTGCTGCCTCCTTGGGTGCACATTAGCAGAAAGCTGGACTTGGGAGCAGAGCTGGACTCAAACCCAGACATCCCAAGCAGTATCGTAACCACTGTGCCAAATGCCTGCCCTAGTCTTCTTTTTACATCAAAGGAAGAATGGTGGATGCCTGTAGGGGAGGCTATTTATGGTTTTGTGAAGGTAAGCACCTCAGTTTAGGTTGTTTGTTATATTCTTGATAGTAGGCAGACTATTCTGCCTAGGATTTTAGGCCAGCAGACACTAAAGAACAACCTAACACGGATAAACAAAAATAAAATCTTATATTTTGTTTTGAAAGTGATGAAAGGCTATTTTGTTTTCCAAGGGACAGAAATAAGTTAAAGGAAATCTTGTATCCATTCACATTTTTATATCTTCAATTTCCATTACCAATTAAAAGACAGTAAACTCTTATCCTGGATAGAAGTGCAATTAGATCCAATAATGAAATCATCAAGTACTACTGAGGTGGAACTTGGCAGTAATTAGTTTTTTGATACATAAATACAATTTCCAAATGCAATTTGTCCCTAAACCCAAGCTGCTGCTTCAATTCTCTGTGTTTGCTATTACAAGGGAATGTGCGCTGAGGTGTATTCCAATTCCTCAGGGTTGCATCTCTCCACAGAGAATGAAATGAGCTGGCTTACATCTGAAATAGCTAGTCAGACATGGAGAGGAAGTGTTGTGCAGCCCTCCCGGGATCAGGAGTGGAGGGTGTGCCCTTAGGAACTCCTTGACATGAATCAGGAGGCATGCTGTTTGTTTCTGCTTTCCCCTTTTCTGTGTATTTGTCACTCTTCTCTTTTCTCTTCCTGATATTTCCCTGCATTCATTTAACTAGGCTAAAGTTTCATGGTGTGGATTCATCAGATGAGAAAAATGCTAGCTTCCATATGAATGAGTATATTTACAAACTGTTGGCAGTGTTTGCCCCCCCCCCCCTTCCTAACTCAAAACCACCTGACAAGTGCTCAGATCAGTGCTTTATTTTCCCCTCTGAAGCTGTGGCCATAGAAGGCCTTACAATAGACTTTGGATTCTTTCCACAAAATACAACAGTGAAATGTCTATTGACCGAGTTTTCTAAATGAATGGCACCTACACTTTCCACTGCCAAAGCATCTTAGTTAAGTAAGGGTAGACAGCTGGAATAGAAACCCAGCTGCACAGAAGTTTAAAGAACAAAGGTACCTATTTATCTTTCACACGATATTCCTGGAGAGAACAAAAGAGGTCAGGGGGAAAACTTTGCTTTCTTTGGTCATTGGAGAACCCAAGTACCTTCCAAGTTGTTACTCCTGTAGCCCATGAAATATTGTCATCAGCTGCATAAATGATGCTAGGTTGTTGTTGCATAGGTTCAATTTGGTGAGAAGGTGGAATGGAGCCTACTAGAAAACCTACTCAAATACCTTCTATGTGGCGCTCGCACACTGGGTTCTAGTCCCAGTCGGGGCGCCGGATTCTGTTCCTGTTGCCCCTCTTCCAGGCCAGCTCTCTGCTGTGGCCCGGGAGTGCAGTGGAGGATGGCCCGAGTACTTGGGCCCTGCACCCCATGGGAGACCAGGATAAGCACCTGGCTCCTGCCATTGGATCAGCGCGGTGCGCCGGCCGCAGCGGCCATTGGAGGGTGAACCAATGGCAAAGGAAGACCTTTCTCTCTGTCTCTCTCTCTCACTGTCCACTCTGCCTGTCAGAAAATAAAAAAAAACTATAAAAAATACCTTCTATGATACTCATCACTTCTGCTCACTTTCCATTAGTAAAAGCTCAGTCCATGATGAGATCATAGGCATTGATCATTAAATCTAACTGCAAATGAAGCTGTGAAATGTGATCTATGTGGTTTGTTGCAGTTCTATTACTATATTAGAAGGGACAGTGGATTTTGTTGGATAGTTGATTCTCCACTGCATCCAGTACACTAGGCTGATTGCAAAATGGTCCAGAATGTTCACAACTTTTGTGTCCACACTTTTTGCAATGTGACATCAATAATTGGATTCTGTTTCCCTGAATTTGGTCCTAGCTCTTGCCTTGCTTTAGCAAACAGAATACGGTGGAATTAGAAGTGTGTCAGTCCAAGCCTAGGCCTTAAGAGAGCTTAAGTGCTTTCCTGGATCCCTGATACCACCATGTGAATGAGCCCAGTTCATACTGCAGGAAATGAGAGAGCAAGGGGAAAAGTTCCAGATTTTCCTGGCTAAGGCCATCCTAGATGGGCACCCATAGTTGGTTGACTCCCAAACATGTGAGAAAGTCAAGCTTAGATCCACAGAGCTGCCTATCTACCCATAGCTGACCATGGATACATCAGTCTGTCCAGGTGAGACAAGAAGAGCTATTCAGCTGAACAATAGATCATTGAGCAGTGA